CTCTCTCACTGGTACATTTTCGTCTATAAATCACTCCTTGGTCTGTTGCTTTCATATATGTCCTCCTACAAGTCACTTCGTGAGTGCAGTTACAGCGTGCGCGCTCAAGACATAATTACCCGCAGTGTCCCATCAGTGTAAACAGAACTATGTAAAAGGACCCTCTCTTACGCCGCTCCTGTTTCCTGGAACATCTTGTAAAAAGATCTGAAGCTCTCGGCCTTGACCTCTCTAAGGGATTTTAAACAACTGTTCAAAAACCAACGCAGACATGTTCCTGTTTTTAGTATTTTACATCGCTTTATAATGTATTTTGTTTTTGTTTTGTTTTTATATAATTTCTTCTATTTACTTTTAATTTTATTTGCTTTTACATGATTGTCTGTTGTTGTCTGTACCTCATCTATGTTCTTTGTTTAAGACAGGTCTCTCTTGTAAAAGAGTCCTCGTGACTCAATAAGACTAATCTGTAATAAAGGTTGAATGAATTAATTTAAATCTCCAAAAACCTATGACTGAATGATAATATAATAATAAACTATACTGACAGCCTGGTGTGTTCTTATATTCCGCACACAAATGAAAAATAGGGATTGTTGTTACAGATATTTTACCAATCCTCATGGGTCTGTAGGGTGTTTGTGTAAAACCACAAACACATGCAAACTGGGTATTACATGTGAAGGTTAATGACCACTCCAAACTCAATCTCCCAGTGATTGTTTGAAGAGGAGAGCGTGACCAAAATGAAAATAAAGCAGTAAGATGTTGATAATGAAGACATTGTTTCTCACATCATGTGAAAAGATAAAATATTAAAAGTTACAAGAAACTGTAATGAAATGTGCAAAGGCTTACCAGGTAAGCAAAAAGCTAAATAATTAAAATGTAAGCTTTAACAATACAATTTTTAGGCAATTTGATAAATTAATGGAAAAATTTAAAGTATGACATGAATGGAGAACACAGGAGATAAACATCATTTTCATTTTCACCTTCAATGCCTCACTTTAACTAGCATTCGTTGAAGAAATGCATATCTCTCTCCACCCTTTGCATGCCAAGGTTTTAAACAAAGCTCTTATTCAATCTGTTAGCCCTCAGGGCATGGGGTGAGGATAACTCCCAGCTACTGCCACACAAAGGTTTTGCTTGTTATCTGTAAAACAGACTGAGATGTGGCCAAGATCAATCAGCTGCCTGGCTGCTCTGTAAAAATGTGGCAAAGCTTCAAGAGTCAAAAGCTTTTCTTTCTATCTCTCTGAAAACTGTACAATGACAAGTCCTTTATTCCGTTTTCATCTTCCAGCTGAACATCTGTGTCTGAAAACCAGTATCTTTCTGTGTCTCCTCCTTCCTGAACAAGAACAAACAAAAAGGGCTGCAGAGATGCAACAAACTCAAAGCATCATCATATTTATACGTTTCAGCGTCTCCACTTGCCTTTTCCTGACTTTCACTGTTTCCCAGGTTACCTCTTTTCTTCCCTCACTGCAGGGAGCAGCGTTTCAGGAGGAGGAGGAGGAGGAGGAGGACTTGTCCACCTGCTAACTAACCAACAGCAAAAACCACAGATACACATCTGCACAAGTCTTTAGTTTGTGGTGAAAGAATTTCTGTCCTTCTGCACAGCAATCCCCTGGAGTGAAGCTTCTGCAAAGCCGGGGGGGGTTTGACCTTAGCTGCCTGTCACAGGACATTATTATCCTGTGGGCATTTTGTGTGTGTGTGTGTGTGTTTATGTTACTTTGTGTCTATTTATGAGGCGGCAAGGTGGCTCAGTTGGTAGAGCTGTTGCCTCTCAGCGAGAAGGTTGCTGGTTCAAATCCCAGCTCAGACCTTTCTGGGTGGAGTTTGCATGTTCTCTCTGTGCAGGCGTGAGTTTTCTCTGTGTACTCCAGTTTCCTCCCACAGACCAAAAACATGCATGTTAGGCTGATTGGTAACTCTAAATTGTCTATAGGTGTGAGTAAAAGAGTGAATGGTTATTTGTCTCATTTGTCTCTATGTGTCCCTGTGATGGACTGGAGACCTGTCTGGGGTGTCCCCCGCCTCTCGCACAGTGACAGCTGAATATGGGCACCAGTGACCGACGCAGATAAAGATAATGGTTGGATGGACTATTTATGATGTTTAATTAGTTTTATAGAATGTATTTTAAATTATACTTCACTAATGTAGCCCAATAATGAGAGAAAAACATATTTTGCAGTTGTTTCTAAATGTTTTTTTATTCAATAAAAAAAAAAAAAAAATATATATATATATATATATATAAGCTGTATAAAATGTAATAATTACAGATTTAAACGCTCCAAATGTGCAACACAAGCAGATTGATATTACACAAGTTCTCCCTTATTGCACTTATTCAGTTCTTATTACAACTTTTGTTAAGTTCAGTAACGGCTGACGGATAAAAACCACTTTTAAACCTGTTTGTTCTCATCTTGATTGATCTGAACCTTTTCCAGCTCAAACAGATCATGTCCAGGGTGAGACATATCCTTTAAGACGTTGTGGGATTTTCCTACGCAGGAATTAAGGAACGCTAGTTTCATATATTCTGTCATGTTGAGCCCAGGGGCCGACATGGTGTAGGGGCAGGGCGGCCGACGCAGGACCCGAAGGTCCTGGGTTCCATCCCCAGTCATTGCACATCTCGTGGTGTCTCTGAGCAGGACACCCAATAACGAATTGCTCCCCGGGCGCTTACATAGCTGCCCACTGCTCCACCTGGTGTATCCCAGGTGTGATGGGTTAAATGCACAGAATTAATTTTGTCTTTGTATGGGAACATACAATGACGACAACACATAGCATTTTATTATTTATCACATATATGCACATGAATAGTTTTTATTTAAATCCACGAGCACAGTTATTTAACACTCCACTCTGGTTTAGTTGCTTTTACACCATATGGTTAAGATTACTAACGGTCAATCAGTCAATTAATCCACTCATTTCAGCTGTCAATAAATTTATGATTAGTTGTTGTGACTGAGAGGAATAATTTTTATCTGTTAGTGTACTAACAATTAAATAAAATGCAAATAAATTCAAATGATTGTCTTTTTTGTATTTCTTCTGTCTTTAAATGTTTACTGTTTATAGTGAAGTATGCTTTTTGTGCTTTAGACATAAACTGCATAAAGACTTCACATACTTTAATTTTCCGAACTATTGAGCACACCCAAATATAAGCCACGCCCACTAAAAAAATAAAAATAATAATTTGTGCATATATAGGCCGCGCTTGTCTATAAGCCGTGGGTGTCCACGTTGTAACGTGAGAGAAAGATTTAGTAAACTTTTAATTAAATACGTACTGGTAGCATACACAAATATGTACAGTATTTATTTATTTTTCCTGAACAGTGCTTGTAACACGGCTGGTTAAAAAAAATAATTAATAAATAAATACAGTAGCCTAACAGTAAAAGTTATTAGAGGCTAAATGTTTTGGCAGCAAGAAGCTCGTTAGCTCATCAAAAAAAAAAAAAAAAAATCCATAAATTAGCTGCAGCTAGGCCTGTCGCGATAAACAATAAATCAATTAATCGCACGATAAATGAAAATTATCAACCTCCTTTTCATTTATCGGCTTTATTGTTTCTTCGTCTCTGTCTTTCTACTGGATGACAAAAGGCTTAACTCCGGTGCTCTTTCCTCTTTTTCTCTTAACCGTCCAAAATGGCGTTTTTGGATCGTTAAAAGCAGCTACGAGCTAAGCTAAGAGGCCAACCTCGGAAATAAACCTCCGTCTTGTCAAAGCTCCAAAGTTCACAGTTAAAACCTGTGCCTTCATGTAAAAAGTTGGTTTTCTCTGCAAAAAGAAGCTGAGAACTTGTTTACTGATTTTTTTTAATTAAAAGCTTTGTGTGCAAAATGCTATGCTAAAGAGCTCAAACCACACCGAGCGTCCACCATTTTGAGAACCGAAAAAAAGGAAAGAGAGACAGCCCATGTCACGTTAAGGTGCCTCCCTCCCATTTTTCTTAAAGAGACACGCTGCTCGCTTCCTCACTAGCCATCCTTTGGTTCAAACAGTCTTATACTGCCATCCAGTGGTCAAACATTACCAATTACTGTCAAATTTCAAACAATATTATCGTTTATCGCAATAATTTCTGAGATAATTAATCGCCCAGCATAATTTGTTATCGTGACAGGCCTAGCTAGCCGCAGCATTGTATAAGCCGCAGGGTTCGAAGCGTGTGAAAAAAGCAGCGACTTATAGTCCGGAAATTACAATAATTTGAGGAATGAATGCGTTAGAAATACAGATTATATGTCACAGTTAATAAACTCAGGTCCAAGCTGTTACTGAAGTCATCACAACTCTTATTAGTAAGTTAAATCATTCTTTTCCTCCTGCTTTGCAGGTTCTTTCTTATCTACTTCTCTGTCGACATCTTATTCAAATCAAGAAGAACGGAGAGCAGCAAACAGAACGTACGTCTGAAAACAACAAAGGAAAGCCGAACACCATCTGAGCTGTCTCACATTCTGGATGCTCAAACTTTTTGACTTATGGGTGGAAACTGATGTTTTTATAACCTTGAGTCAGGAGACGGAGCATGAAGAGTCTTTGTAGAGCCATGTTAGAAACTGTACTCGTTTTCTTTTTGGACACTTTGCAAAAACAAAGTTAAAGCATTTTCTTTCTGATTCTTTTAACAGACTTCAAAAATCGTTGTTTTTGGCCTTTAGGATTCTTTTTTTTTTTTTTTTTTTTTTTTTTTTTGCCGATAGTGTCACCATTAAAAAAAACACATCTCCAATAAGTAAACTTTACACATGAATGAATTAAAAAAATATACTGAATAATAAATACAGAGGCGGCTCATTAAGAATGCAGATGTGTGGCTTGTTTCAGCCACACACACCTTCAATATTCATAAATTATTATTATTATTATTTTAAACACGTGTTTCTCTCTATTGTTTTCCATTTTTTTATAGTCTTCTCTTAAATTCCAACGTCTTAGACATGTCTTAGGGACAGGAGTGGAGGACATTTTGGACAAAGAATGTTGAATATGAAGCTGCCAAGAAGGAGAATAAGGGAGCGTTGTGAAGTGTAGAGGGTTGGTGTGACAGAGGAGGTAAGGTGAGATGAAGGACCCCTAAAGAAGAGGAAGACCTCCACTGAGGTTCTACCTGGCTGCTCTGAGGGTCGTGGGGGACCTCGCTACGAGGGGAGAGCAAGATACAGTCCTGGGTTGTGGTTTTCTCGGTGCGCGGGGCACTCGGGTCGCCATCGTCGACACCATTGGCAGCGCACCTGAGACTCCTCACACAGAGCACCTGCAGGACCAGAACAACATCCACATGTGGATCATCTGCACAGGTCTTAAACCATAAAGGAACATTTCTGAATACAATGTGGTAAAAATCCACAGGTGTCTGGATCTTTGTACAAACAATCAGATAAAAAGACAGTAGCTGTTTTGTGCTGATTCAAACATTAATTTAATACTTCACTGTAGGGTCACACTTATAATAGTGGATCTTTAATGCTTTCAACAGAAAGGGCAATGGTCACTCTTTTTCATCATTCTGTTTCCAGATGATCTTTGTCTTCTTTTGCACATTGATTTTTCAACAGTAAGATGAGACTAAAGCATAATAAAGACAAATTAAGTCACCTACTTTCATTCATTCAACCTTTATTTATACAGGATAATCCCATTGATCCTCTGGGGCTCATTTACAAGAGAGACCTGATTTTAATAAAGAATGACGACAAGTCATAAAAAGCATACGAATTGAGAAGAACAAATAAAAGAAAATGGTACTTAAAAAAAAAGAAACAAAAACAGCTAGATTATAAGACAGTGTAGAAAATTAAAAACAGGAATATGTCTGCGTTGGTATTTGCCAGGAACTTAGATGTTTGAAGTCACTTAGAGGTCAAGGTCGAGAGCTTCAGATCTTCTTGCAAGATGTTCCAGGAAACAGGAGAAGACCCTTTTGCAGGTAAAAGATAATGGATGGATGAGTTTTACCCAAAAGTAAAAAAATTCAATTTTTTAAATTATCCATAAATAATAGAAAATCACTGCATTTATTTATTTGTGACTTTATTTGCCTTCAGTTTAGTTTCTTTATAAACACCATAAAATGTTACAGAAATGTTCCTTTCCTGTTGGCCGTTTGATTTGAAGTTCAAGAACATAAGTACCGTTACTTAAAGTGAGTAGACTCTGCTTGTTTTAATCTGAACGCAGTCACTGGAGCAGGTCACAGACTTTAGTCAGACTAAAGTTTAGCAGGACTTCTTTTTGTGTAAGTTCAATAAAAGCTGTTGGTGTTTCCTGCTTGTCATGGTTCTCCGTCATGGTTCTCATGAGAAGACTTAATGAAACAAAGATAAATGTGTTGGAGGACTGAGGTCGGAGCTTCCTGTCGGTCGATTAGAACGTTCGCTCTGTGAAGACGCAGAACCTTCTTAAACTTCACTGAAGCTCACCTTGAAAAACTCCGAACTTTTCTTGTGCCGATCATTTTCTGCGCTCATCTCTCCTTTTTTAACCTTAAAATCTATTTTACTGGACGTGTTAAGCATGAAATGGTTCTAGTTACATTTGTAAATGTAGAATTAACCCATAAAATTTAAATACTACTAATAATAAACAAATTCTGTCTTCATAGAAACTCTTTATTTCCTGTATTTTACCTTTGAATTATAAATTAGTTTAAAGATAAAATAAGACATATTTAGAAAACTTTTTGAGAGCGTTATTTTCACAGTTTAATAAAACATTAGTAAAGGCTTAAAATCCAGACTTTTATTTTAAGCGTATTTTGATTCAAGCTGCAGGTCTTGTTCAGTGAATACTTTATTAACTTCCTGTCTCAAGGCCTGGAACCGAATGGAACAAGTTCATTAGAAGTTTTTTCTTCATTAATCCGATCCACAGCTTGAAGTGTCGTCTGTGGTTTGTGAGTTCAAAAGTTGTTCCTGCGGTAAAAAAATAAAACTCTCAAAACAAGTGAGAGAAACTTTCCTTAGATTAAAAAATTTAACAAATCCAGAGGGAAGTCTAAAATGTCAACTCAAGAAGTTTGTTTAAATCTAAAGCAAACGAACAAACAACAAATGAAAAAAATAAATCTTAGAGTCAGTCGTGACGCTTCACAGAGCAGACTGATTAAAAACTCAAACCAAACTGCAAAATCAGAGCAGGACTTGCTGAAGATGAAGAAGTCAAAAGTTTTTATCTGTCGTTTTGAAGTGAATAAACCAGAAAACATGTTTACTCACAGCTGATCTCAGCTGCTCTTATTGTGTGAATGTTTATGAAGTATTCTCACTATTGTGATCCATTTTTTTCTTCCGTACCTTTTTCAGCACGATTCTCGTCCTGAAGTTTTCAAGCTATTTCAACAAATCATCTTTCAAAACGTTCAGCTCTTTCAGCACAATCCTGCTATGACTTGGCGCAACTTTAGCTTTTTGAAATATTTAGCCTTTTCTGCCATTTTTTTCTTCATAGAAAATGAATTGAGCTCATTTTACATTCTTCACATCTTTAGGTCTGTTTACTGCTCCTTTCACATTTTGTTCTGATTCATCTTCTTTCAGCTTCCTTGTGCAGATTTAAACATTTTTCAGCTATTTTCAACTAATTTCAGCTGGGTTTTTTCAGCTGTTTTGCGCTCCTTACAGATTCTTTCTGTTAACTACAACATTTGTGTGCTTCTTCTAACTTATTTCTGCTCCTTTCAGCTTATTTCTGCAAGTTACAGTTACTATTTCAGCTACTATTTAGCTGTTTTCATGCTAATTTAAACCTTTTCAGCTATTTCCACATTTTTTACACTCATTTAAATTGTTCAGCCTAATTCAGCAAAAATGTGCTCTTTTCACTTTCTTGTAAATTCAGCTTCTTTCTGCTTTTGAAGCTACTTGTCAGCGTTTTTTGTTTTTTTTGTTGTTAATGTCAGTTTTTTTTCTCCAGATAATTTCCATTATCCACCTAGGACCGTCAGACAACATCTCAATCTTCCTGGCTCCGGCTTACATGCCACTGCTGAGACGCTCCAGACCAGTACAAAAGAAAGTTAAATGTTGGATCCAGGACAGTGGACCCATACTAAGAGATTGTTTTGATCGAACAGACTGGCAGGTTTTCAGAGAAACTGCTGAAAATGGAGAATCGCTTGATCCGGACCAATACACATCCTCAGTTCTGGGTTACATTTGTACATGTACTGACACCGTCTCCACTATCAGAAATGTTAAAAGCTACCCAAACAGAAAATCTTGGCTGAATGCAGAGGTGTGCACCCTGCTGGCAGCCAGGAACACTGCCTTCAGGTCTGGAAACTCAGAGGAGCTGAGTAGGACAAGGAAAGAGCTGGTTGCTGGTATTAAGAAGTCCAAGGCCACATATGCACAGAGGATCGAGGGTCAATTCACCTCACAAGACCCTCGGAGCATGTGGAGGGGCATTAAGTGCATAACAGATTATAAAGGAAGGAGTGAACAATGCCCCAAAGACCCATCTCTGCCTGATGCCCTCAACAAGTTCTATGCACGCTTTGAAGACCCGAACAGACCACCCAGCACCAGACTCACCTCACCACCGGATGAAGAGCATCTCAGCGTGACCTCAGCAGAAGTAAGGAGTACCTTCAGGAGGATTAATCCGCACAAAGCAACTGGCCCAGACCACATCTCCGGGAAAGTGTTCAAGGAATGTGCTGATCAGCTCTGCGAGGTGCTGGCAGACATCTTTAACACCTCACTTACCCTGGAGACAGTTTCCACCTGCCTGAAGACTGCCACCATCATTCCAGTCCCAAAGAACTCTACAGTGACTGGTCTGAATGACTATCGGCCAGTGGCCCTCACCCCGATAGTCGCTAAATGCGTCGAAAAACTGGCCATGACTCACATCAAAACAACCATCAACATCAACGAGGACCCTCATCAGTATGCATACCGTGAGAACCAATCAACAGAGGATGCCATCTCCTCTGTGGTCCACACTGCTCTCAACCACCTGCAGCAGAAAAACTCTTATGTCCGTATGCTCTTTGTGGACTTCACATCCGCCTTCAACACCATGATCCCCCAAACCCTGATGGACAAACTATTCACACTAGGACTAAGCTCCTCCATTTGCAACTGGGTCCTAGACTTCTTAACAAACAGACCACAGTTAGTGAGGATCCACAACTTCTCCTCCTCCACCATAACCCTCAGCACTGGCTCTCCTCAGGGATGTGTGTTGAGCCCCCTCCTGTTTACTCTGCTCACGTATGATTGTGCAGCTACCCATCCAGGCTGTCACATTGTAAAGTTTGCAGATGATACAGCGGTGGTGGGATGCATCACAAACAATGATGAGTCCAGCTACAGGCAAGAGGTGGAACACCTGGAGAGCTGGTGCAAAGAGAATAACCTTCACATCAATGTGTAGAAGACAAAGGAGATGATTGTGGACTTCAGAAGGAACAAAAACACCTATGCCCCCCTGAACATAAAAGGATCCGCGGTGGAAGTGGTCTCCAGCTACAAGTACTTGGGTGTACACATGAATGACAACCTCAGCTGGAGCAACAACACCACCAGCCTGATCAAGAAAGCTCATCAGAGACTCT